ATTATATTCAAGTCAATGAAATAAATAATAACTTTAATAAATAAAATATGCTGGTAAGAATGTGGTGGGCCAGTGAAAAGCAGCTGTAGTGTATACTGTTTAGTAATCAGTTTAAATGATGTCATAATTAAATAAATTAATAAAAATCAGCATTAATTCCCGCCCTCTCATGATACAAACACACAGTTCATACAGCCGCACAGCTGCAGGCGCCACTGATCAGGATCTAGATAACAGAGAAACTCCAGCAGTTCAGTCAGAGCAGCCATCAGCTGTAACAGCGCCCCCTGCTGCTGGAGTCAGTGATGATCAGATGTGCTCCAACATTACACACACTCACATCAGGACTGAACACACATCTGCAGCTGAGCCTTTACTGAATGAGCCCACACACACACACACACACACACACACACACTGCTGAGTCTCTCTGCTCTTCACTCTTCATCACCTGTTCAACACATCTCACCTGTTTTTAATCATTTGTTTTGTCAGTTTTTAAGTTCCTGTTCAGCTCTCTGATTGGTCGCTGTGTGTGAGATGTGCTCTACAGATAAACTTGCCTTGCCTTGCAGGTGGGAGCTGGTGGGCTCTGTGTCCCACTGTCGGGCCGGGGCCGGGGTCGCCGTCTGCTCCACACTCATCAGCCAGGTGCGGGACGTGGGTCAGGGCTCCAGTAATGTGGCGGACTGCATGTGAGAGTGTGTGTGTGTGTGTGTGTGTGTGTGTGCGTCCTGCTGTTTTCTATCTGATCTGCATGAGGGTTTTCTCTTGTCTGAGGTTAATAATGCAGCAGTGATGATGATGATGATGATGAAGATATAGTCAGTGACTGCAGGACAATCTCACACACACACACTAACACACACGCACAGTTTCAGCTCTGGATCTGCGCTCTGTGGCTCGTGTGTTTGGCTGTAAGTGTGAGCAGAGCTGTGTTTATATGTGCTGGTGTGTATCATACAGATGTCCAGTATTTTATGGCGTGTGTGTTCAGCGTGTGTGTGTGTTCAGCGTGTGTGTGTGTTCAGAGTGTGTGTTCAGTGTTCCACATGACTGAGTTCAAAGTGAAAATCCAATCATTTGTGTGTGTGTGTGTGTGTGTGTGTGTGTGTGTGTACAGAGAGTCAGTCATTATAGCGTCAGTAAAGCACAGATGTACTTTTGCACAGACCTGTATATAAACTCTCGTCTTGTTTGACTATTTATGATGTATATGTTCACTTTTCATCATTCTGCAAGTGTTCTGCTCTCTCCTTACTCTACTATATCTGCTGTTCAATATCAACACAATGTTACTGTGAAATCACAGTAAATATCACATTAATACAGTGGCTTCAGTGTGTGTGAGTGTGTGAGTGTGAGTGTGAGTGTGTGTGTGTGTGTGTGTGTGTGTGTGTGTGTGTGTGTGTGTGAGAGTGTGTGTGAGTGTGTGTGAGAGTGTGTGTGAGAGTGTGTGTGTGAGAGTGTGTGTGTGAGAGTGTGTGTGAGTGTGTGAGTGTGAGTGTGTGTGTGTGTGTGTGTGTGAGAGTGTGTGTGAGAGTGTGTGTGTGTGAGTGTGTGAGTGTGTGTGTGTGTGTGTGTGTGAGAGTGTGTGTGTGTGTGTTATCATCAGCTGTGTTTCTGTGGCTGTACACACTGTATTTAACATCTCTCTGGAGTAAATCTGTCCTGTATGCAGGATTCTCTTATTTATTTCCTCCAGCTTTTCCTTCTGTGGCTTTTTAACCTTTGTAATGATGAAATAAAGCAGTTTTCTTCAGTCCTGACGCCTCCTGCTGCTGTTTCCTGGTGTGTTTTCAGTTCAGGTCAGGTTTTCTGCAGTATCATTGTGTCAGCGCAGCTCTGCAGGACAGACAGATACAAGACACTATACAGCAGAGCGCCGAGCCGTCAAACATGGTTACAATCCACACACACACACACACACACACACACACACACACACATTCAGACACTTAACTTCTGTTGCTGAACTTGGGTTATTCGTAATACAGGTATCAAAGATGTATGACCTGGGTGTGCTCCTGTATGTGAATAAGTGTGTGTGTGTGTGTGTGTGTGTGTGAGTGTGTGTGTGTGTGTGTGTGTGCGTGTGTGTGTGTGTGCGTGTGTGTGCGTGCGTGCGTGTGTGTGTGCGTGCGTGCGTATGTGTGTGTGTGCGTGCGTGCGTATGTGTGTATTTACAGCAGTTTGACTGATAAATATTAATTTGTAGCTAAATCGTTAGCAGTGCAAAACAGCATTTCCCATTGTTTACATTGTTGCTACAGCATACCGTTAAAGCTAGACACTGTACATGTCATGATCAATTTTAACAAATAAAAACACTTACAGGTTGTAGTTCACAGCTTCTGCTTTGAGGTTATTTTAACCGAATCCAGCACTGAGCTGGGAGAGATTCTGGAGCTATTTTGTCAAATCATGCTTGCTATGTATTTTATAATTTTCTGGAACATAATTAATATTGAACTAAAGGCACTTCTGTCTTTGTGTCGTGTCCTTTGCAAGCCCAAATACAGAAACAGACGAAGCTCTGTGGAAACAGTAGTGTTTGGACACATTTTAGCTCTATCTGCTATAGCGCTACAGCGCCTCTGGCCACGGCCCTTAGCGGTGCAGTGTGTGTGCGTGCAGTGAAAGAACCTTTGTGATCTCACAAGGGCCGGAAGTATTTTTTGTAGTCCCCAAAACTCGTTCATTGTAGACTTTGCTAAGCTAACTCTGTAAAAACCAAGGTCTCCCTTTGCATTGAACTTAGAACTTTTTACATTCAGAGATGTTGTTTATGTTCACACAGAAATTTTACTTTCTGCTACTTTCGAATGAACACTATAAAAACCCCACAAAATTTAACCTGACTGTGGCTTACAGAAATGTACCGTTAAAAGTAAAAACAATAAAAGTTTTTCATATTATTGGTAAACTACCATGTTTCATTTATTCATAGAGTTACGCAACAATGTTTTGAAGTACTAACATGTACACATACCTTTGTAAAACAAGCAAAAACACAACCA